AGAGAGAGAGAGAGAGAGAGAGAGAGAGAGAGAGAGAGAGAGAGCAAGTGCCAGACATGAAAAAGTCAAGAATGCCTCCAAACCACTAAGGCTAATTAGTATGCTCAATGGTGAACTTTCATTTTCTCCCAAATTTGATCATTTTACACCACACCACATATTATCAAAATGAAAAGAGCCCATGCTGGGTAAGGAATCAAAAAACCACACTTGTAACAGATAAGCAGTTTTGTAAAAGACTGTTTATTGAGCATTTGCTCGAAGCCATGAGCTATACTAAACAACAGACAGAGCTGAGCAATACACAGGCCCTTGCCTTTGGAAGCTCACATTCTAATGCAGGACAGACACGAAGATGACACAGACGGAAACACACAGTCAGTAACTGCCTGTGTACCTTCATAAACAATTCTCATTTTCACCCATATTGAAAAATATAGAGTGAGTAACAAAACACAAGGACTTCTTAAAACTTTGGTTTTGAAATTGTTCTCAGATAAACGAAAACTTTTCAAATTTTAAGTAAATCAGAAAAACAAAGACTAATGACTATAAAATCAAATAAAAAACAGAATTTAGTTACAAAGACTAATGACTATAAAATCAAATAAAAAACAGAATTTAGTGCTATCATACAGCTTACTTAAAGCACTGACTCAGCAAAGCCCTGAACATGCACCTAAATTTGCTCTTACATAAACATATGCAAGTTACATCAATTAGGTATGTGAAGTCAAATTATTCCCAACACAGTAAAAGACAAACCAGAATGCTCAAAGAGATGTGACATTTACAAGTAATAAAATCCAACTCTATTTGACTTAGCTTGTATTTTATAGAAAGATAAAAGGACATGTACAAATCTCAGACCCACAGGTAGCTTCTTCCCTTTCTGAAAGTCACTGAACCTATTAAATCCAGAAAAGGTATCTCTTCACAATATGAAAAGACACATAAGCTTTCGCTTACAAAACTGCCAGTGAGATGTCAAGTCACAGCACATTTTAGGAGGGAATGATGTTACAGACCATATAAAACATCCCCCCATCATATGTTGCAGTAAATTCCATTTCCCAAGCTTTTCATTACTTCTAACATAAATAATGCTACTGTAGGAACTCCTGGAACTCCATCTCTCATAGCCCATTGGCAAAGTAAGATCAGAAGAGGTACTAGCCATGAGAATACAACTATATACAACTGTGTTTCTGATATTATTGAGGAAACAGAAGATAACATGGTATTTATGAATACTGTAACATACCGCCTTGTTGCTTCCAAAATGCCCACTATGTTTTGGGCATATACTAAATTAAAATTTTTACTCTTAAAAAATATTAACTTAGTCAAGATTACAAAGAGAGCCAACGAAACTAAGTGAACTATTTAGAAGGAATGTTGAGACAGAAAACAGTGGGATGAAGCAACAGCATGACACACTGCCACCCTAAATTACCCCAGCTTGGATGCAGCCTAAAGGAACTGTAAAACAAATCAGAAAGGGCTTTTTCATTACAAAAGATACTTTTTCAAGAACATCTACAAACATTTCCACAAGCTTCTTTAAAGCAGTTTGCAAGCTAAAATGTCTTACCTCCCTCCCAATGAAGTGTTAGAAATATGTCATTAGCTACCCAGGAACCTCTCTGGTTTACTCAATACACCTGGGTTCCCATTGTCTTGCCTTTAAACATGCCACTTGCCTTCCACAGCTCAGAGTCTGGAGGGAAAGGAAGGAGCCTGGACTACAGCACTTTTCTGGCTGCATTCATGCTTAGCTTTAATACCAAGCATTCAGCTGTGGTGCAATTTAGAATACACTGTTACCATTTCTTCAATTTTCAGATGCCTTGTGCTTTCATTGTGTTTTCAAATGAGTACACATGGTGTGCAAAATGCTATGAAAATCACTAGGAATATGCTTCTTATAGACTATAATCCTAAAATGACTGGCCTTTTAAGCATTTCTAATATACTTTTAGAGCAAAGTAGTACTGTGTATGTCCTTACCTTTGTCCAAACCTCGTTTTTTATTGCCCATGTAAAAGATTACTCATCTATAAGCATTTCTTCCTCTACTTCACAAATAGCGAGAAAGTTTCGGAATTCTAAAACCACATGTTGTTTATACAGAACTGTAAGCACCAGAATAATCCACTTAATTCAAGAAATTAAATGAAGAACATAATTTCATGCTTCACTTTGAAGAAAAACCATAAAGTTAGTTTATTACAAATTTTAAAACTAGAATAAGCTAGATAGTGTGACAAAAAAAAAAAAATCCAATGAATTAAAAACTTACATTTTAGACCAAGTCCATGGTAGGAAATGTCAATACTCGTGCTTTCTTTTAAATGATTACCAAAGACTCAAATAAGGAGAACTGACAGAAAGACTGAAATTTGCCCTGTTAGTTAATCCCACTGAACCTGCCATGTTAAATATTTTTAAGTCAAGAGAACAAATTGTAAAAATAAAAAACAATATTTATGCAATCAAAGTACAAATTTCAACTTTCCCTCTCACATTTAGCCAAAGGAATGTACATCAATAGAAGTTAGGTAATTAATTTATCTTTATATATTCAAAGTACTCCAAATCAGAGACGTATGCATTACCTCAAAATAATGTCTCATCATATAATGACTTCTCAAGTCAACTAAATCCTTACCACTTTAATAAAGTCAGAACAAGGTACATTAAAAGTAAAACTGTACTAATGACCTACATGCCTTAGAGACAGACCTTCACTCCCTCATCATACTTATAAAACTGAAGGAAAAAAATGAAAATCTTACCTATTAGCTTTCTACAAATTCAGACCTTTATATCAAACCAATCAAAATCATAAAGTTTATTTTTCTTCTACAGACAACACATATACTAGCACACAATATATTGATCTCGCTGAGTTATTTGGGCATCTAAGCATCTACATACTATAGTCACTTAGCATACCATACTTTTTAAAACTTAAAACTTCTAGAAACCAGACGTTTTTCTTTTCCTGTTATACATTTCTAACTGGAAAATATGCAACTTAAAGTACACATCTGCACAGCGTAGGCACCACATGACTGGCTCCAGAGCCAATGCCTTGCATACCTTGCTGGTGGAAGCCTTGTACGTGGTCTTTAGCTTCTGAGAAAGCTGACTGGTACTGTGACTGGCTGTGGAGACACAGAATCGACAATCACACACCAAGAGACAAAAGAACCACAGCATCACCAAGTGCAGCTGTGTCCTACACAGAGAGAAAAACTCAGAAGGGTCTGTTCGTCCACCAAGACATGAAGAATGGCAGAGCTGGAACAGGGACCCAAGCTCTTCTCTCATCTAGACCCACACCTCAATCATGTATTTCAAGTCTGACTGATAATAAAGAACAAATGAGTCAGCGCTTCTCATTAAGTTCTAAATTTCCTAAATCTGCAGGTAATACTTTTATAAGCATCCACCTTACCTTTTGTTTTGAGTTGGCCCTTACTCAATTCTGCCCCATCAATTGCTTGTCCTTCACCCGCTAAGCGTTCATTAAGAGTATCGATTTCTCTACGCACTGGAAATAAAAAAGTTTTTTCAAAAATGTAAAGTATGTTCTTACGTTTAAATATATTCATACTTCTAAAATCTGCATAAGTAAAAATGCTATGAATTGTCAAAACAAAGATATAAAAAATACTGTAAAAAGCAAGATCACGATTTGTAGTTTCTAAAAACTGAAGTCATCATTCCAAACGTCATTCCAGAAATTAAAGAGTAGGGATGTAACTCAGTCACAGAGTACTCATCTAGCACGCACAGAGTACTCATCTAGCACACACAGAGTACTCATCTAGCACGCATGAAGTCCTGGGTTTGGTCCCAAACCCCATATAACTGGATGGTGCAGGCCTATAATCCTAGCACACAAAAGAATCAAAGTCCAAGGTCATCATTAGCTATTTAGCAAGCTGCAGGCCAACATGGGCTGAATGTCACTCTATTTAAAAAAGAAAAAAAAAAAAAAAAGAAAGAAAGAAAGAATGAAGCCGGGCATGGTGGCGCATGCCTTTAATCCCAGCACTTGGGAGGCAGAGGCAGGCAGATCTCTGTGAGTTCAAGGCCTGGTCTACATAGTGAGTTCCAGGACAGCTGGGGCTACAGGAAGACCCTGTCTCAAAAAGACAAAAAAAAAAAAAAGAATGAAAGCACATATGCTCTTAATATACTAACAATCAGGCAGCAGGACACCTGCACACCCAGGCAGCTTCCAACACGGCTGCCTTTCTGCTTGATTCTATACACTTAAAAAGATTCTGATACTGCCTAAACTTCAGTGCCATATTTATATTTACCTGTGGGTACTGCAGCTGAGGAAAAGACAAACAGTAGAAAATCTCCACATGAGGACTACATATAACAAAGATTAAAAGTTACATAATAAGGGGCTTGAGAGATGGCTCAGTGATTGAGAGCCCTGGCTGCTCTTGCAGAGGACCTGAGTTCAGTTCCCAGCACCCACATGGTGGCTAACAATCATTCTTAACTTCAGCTCCAGGGGATTCAACATCCTCTTCTGACCTTCATGGGTACTGCAAGACATGGGTGTACTTACATATATGCTAGCTATATACTCATATGCATTAAAAATAATTAAAACAATAAATTAAATATAAAAAAAGAAAAATAAGTAGAGGACACTAGTTATAAAGAACATAAAAAGCAAAGATACAGAGATCTTTCTACTCATTGGAAAGACCCTGGGAACAGCCTCAGGTGTGCACAGTGAACCACACTGTGAAACTGAGGAAAGAGAGATTTGCCCAGGGAATAACTAGTCTAAGGACAGCAAGAACTAACCTGGCACAGCAGGGACCTAACTTACACAACGGATCCAAAGCTCTAGGGCCTAAACCCTTGGCCGGACACCAGGAAACTTCCTAGGGCCATGCAAGAAGACTTGTCTTACCAAAGCTCAGAACAAGTCAAGGTTAGGAACAGGCCAAAAACAAAGGCTCTACATGCATGCAGGCTAACCAACCGAGACTACCTCATGAGAAGCAAGAAGCCACCAAGCTTGCAAGTGCTACACAACATAAAGTCGAGCACCTTCTGGCATCACTAATTTGTAATCCTAAAGTTCCTTTGGCTGCACAAATTCATAAAACATAAAACCTTAAGTCACAATGGAAATCAGTAATAGTTCAGTTGTTAAAACTCTGATATACTTGGGCAGAGGCAGGTGGCTCTCTGTGAGTTCGAGACCAGCCTGGTCTACGTAACAAGTTCCAGGCCAGCTGCTACACGGAGACCCTATCACAAAACAAAAACAAAAAACAAAACAAAACACCCTGATACTTGGGGCTGGAGAGATAGCTCAGTGGTTAAAAGCACTGCCTGCTCTTGCAGAGGGGGTTCGATTCCCAGCACCCACATGGCAGCTGACAACCATCTGTAACTACAGTTCCAGGGGAACCCAATTCCCTCTTCTGATCTTCAAAGGCATTTCACAGCATGGGTGCACTTACATACATGCAGGTAATATACTCATATACATAAAATAAAAATAATAAATTCTTTCTTAAAAGATAAACTGACCCCCCACCCACCCATCCATCCACCATCTACCATCTATCCACCCATACTCAAGGCTTACTTAGCAATCCAGCCCTTGTCATTCTGCCACCAACTCCCAAGGAAATGGCCCAATACTGGACCCCAAATCCAGGACCTAGGTGACTGCCACACCATACCCTGGGACTCCCAGGAGCCCAAAATGCTCACACCCTGGTCACTGATATGCAGGCAGCCAGCTGACGCAAGCTCTGCTTTTATCAGACATTATTTTATTTCACTTTGTTTACTATAAAACTCCATGATTTCACAATTTAACAAAAATGCAGGACAGAAATGGTTCTGTAACATGTTACCAAAAAACTTTACAAAACTTTGAGAATTTCATACATACATTAAATCCAAGTCCACTCGCTCCCCTCTATCCCCTCCAATACCTCCCATATCTCCCCATCACGTTTTTCTTTTTTTTTTTTCTTTCATTTATTTATTTTTATGGGGCTTTTGGCTATTCTAACATTCCCCCCTCTAAAGAGGTAACCCTCAAATCTTTTAAGGATTAGATACAAGCTCCAAAATACTTTCAAGGACTTTCTTTTCCCTTTAGAGATAAGAATTATACAATTTGGAGGTCTTTTAGATAGACCCACTGAAGGGGTACCCCAATTGCCTGACCCTGAATCCCTGTTCAGCATGAAGAAGCCAGAGCGGTCTGTATCCCGATTCCCTATTGGCAATTTGGGTAACCCCTTCAGAGGATGGTGTGATAATAATAGGAGGTAGGAACTGGCTAGGCAGCTAGGATAAAAAGACCCCAAAGAAATGTAGTCGGTTTCTTGGCTAAAAGTCAAAATGCCCCCCCTTAACCCTTTTTCAAAAGCCAAAAAAATTAAAAAAAAAAAAAAAAAAAAAAAAAAAAAAACACCTTTTAAAGCTCTGTTACTGTGGTGGTTTGAATGAAAATGTCCCCCATAGGCTCCAAGTATTTGGGCATTTTTCTCCCTAGTTGGTGGTGCTATTTTCGGAGGTCTTAGAAGGTGTTGCTATTCTAAACGAAGCAGGCTTAGAGCATTCTTAGTTGCTCTCTTGTTTCCTGTGCCTGCTTGAAGATGTGAGAGCTTAGCGTCCGCTGCTCCTACTCCAGCCACCTCCTGCCACCATGCCTCTCTGCCATGACGGACTGTAATTCCTCTGGAAACTAAGCTCAAATAAACTCTTCTATACATTGCTTTGGTCAGTGTTTCTATCACAGCAACAGAAAAGTAACTAATACAGTTAGTTTTTTTAAATCCTTAAAATTCAACACTATCCATGGCACCTAATTTTATTCTATAAGAAAGCTAGAATCATTTCTCCCTCAAGATAGGTAATGGGGGGATATTGAAAACCCAGTATTAAAATATTAAATTTTCCAAAAGCAAAGTTTAAATGACATAGAATTAGATTTTCTTCATTACTTACCCAACCCCAGTAGTTACAAGATGCCAAACAGTCTAGTAATTCAAATGCTTATTAGTATTTAATTTTTCATTCTTTAAGAGTATATAAGTATATAAGTGCCCCACATGTGTGTAATGCCTTGCAGAGGCCAAAAGAGCATGTGGAATCCCTGGAACTGGAGTTACAGACAGGTGTTAGCCACCATGTGGGTGCTGAGAACCAAACCCAGCTCCTCTGCAAGAGCAGCCAGTGTTCTTAACTGCTGACCCATCTCTCCAGTCCCCACATTTAATTTCTGAAGTCAACTCATAGAGAAAGCACAAAAGACTGAATTACAGTTAATTTGGATGGTATAAATTTTATAAACATAAACTCCATAAAAATAAAAATTGACAAGTGATGGAACAGCAAGAGGAACAAAGCACATCCACCCCTAATAGGTAGGCATTAAGGCATCCAGCCTGACCTAACACTGGAAGACGACCACTTATGCTGGCATAAATAATTGCCAGAAGAACTCAAAGCAGAAGTGCAGAAATGTTTTCTTTGGAAAGTACAAGGGGGCTAAAGGGTTATGATAAATATCTTTTCCTTTTATGTTTGTTTTTTTAAGCATATATGGGAATATGTGTGAAAAAAACTAAAGTGAATCCAATTCAAAATTCTTTTGATTTATACATTTAATAATCCAGCTAATACATTTTAGAATTTTTCAAATGATGATATATTCCCAAGAAAAACATGAGTCAAAGCTTTCACAATTTACAGTATACTTGATATAGGGGGGAAAATGCATTTGTTTTATACAAAAATCACAATTTCAGTTGGTTGGCATGGTAACCTTAAAGATTTTCAGGACCCAAGCCCTGTAACCTGTTAACATTACCTCACAAGTTATAACAATTCTCCAGGCCAGAAGATCACCCTGGAATATACAGGGAGCTCAAGACAATCACACGCATTCTTAGGACTGGAGCAGAGATAAAGGCAGATCAGAGCAGAAACAAGACCCATCACCAAGGGAGCAGGGCCCTGGAGCCAAGGTGTGCAAAGAGGCCTGTCCTAAAAGCCCAAGTAACTGCATTCTGCCACTCAACAATCAAGCAGGAAATGTTTGTTCCTAGAGTCTCCAGAAGGAAACAATTCTGTCAGGACTTTATCCTGGCAAAAATCACAGAACTATACAATAGTAATGCAGCATTGTAAACCAGTAAGTTTAGCACACTAGAAGAGTAATAAAGTGATGAATCTCTACCCAAATTTTATTCTCAAAAGTTCTATGCATAGGTGATAAACTCTTCAAATATATTAAGATAGGAAATACTCACATTCTAAGTTTTCAATATAAAGATTTTCAAATTCTCTTTCTATTTGACCAAACAGTTCCAGAAGTGTACTGCGAACTGAAGAAGGCAGTTTAGAATCCTGTATAAAAGAAGTGTTTTTATTAAAACGAATGAATGAACCATTCTAATGCCAAGCAACAATGTACTGTTCAAAGTGAATTACCATCCACCTGAAACTCTAATTTTATGCCACTTCTCCTACATCAGTGTCTCAAGAATTAAAGTTCAGCAGGACTGCAGCTTGGTGAAAGCATGTGCTTGGCATGCACTGGACACCCTGAGTTCAATTTCAAACACCAAAAAAAGGATCTTAAAGATTTAAAGTTTCTAATTTACTACATAGGGTAGTAGAAGGTTGAGAAGCAAGCATTTCTTCAAAATTACACAATTTCTTCCTTTTTCAAGTGTAAACAAAGTCCTCTGAAAAAGCTGTATCTGGTATTGGAGAGATGGCTTTAGTGGTTAAGAGCACTGGCTGCTGTTGCAGAGGACCCAGGTTTGGTTCCCAACATCCACATGGCAGCTACCAACTGTCTTTAACTTCAGTTCCAGGAGATCCAACACTCTCTTCTGGCCTGCACAGGCACTTCATGACATAGGTGCACTTATATACATGCAGGCAAAATATTTATATACATAAAATAAAAATAAATTTTTTGTGCCCACTGGTACAATAGTGGTACAAATATTATGGAGTAATCAATCACTCTTTAATTGGATTTAAGGTCTACTTCCTAGGATGGTGCCCATACCTGACATTGATAGCAGGCTTAGGAACCTGAGGCTAGACAGGTCACAGGACATAGGGAAGAGCCTAATACTTGTTTTCTACTAAATAGTTATCATATTAAGCTGACTCTTAATGACTTAGTGTTATAACCATAGATTAATGTATCTCTCAACTCTCACCAGAGAAGTTTCCTTATTTAACAGATGGCAATTAACACAGAAACCCATAAGTGCCAACTTGCAGAGAACAAGAGGCTGCAGAGTGCTTATACATCAATAAGACACTTATATCAAACTTCTGCCTCCCAAGGTTCAGGGGCCATTGCAGAAGAGGGGTCAGAAAGATTATAAGAGCCAGAGGTGATAGAAGACCACAAGGATAAAGAATTTTCTAGACAGTTGGTCAGTTACTCATATGAACTGACAGTATGCACAAGTTCCATGCATACTCAAACAAACAAAAAACAAAAACAAAAAACAGCATAGATCTGAGGATGTAGGTAAGAAGCTCCAACCCCACCTAAGAAAATTCTGGCAACCAATGGCTGCTAGGAGAGGCAGAGACAGTCTCTTTCAAGCATGGACTCTTGATAGGTTGGTCAGGGTCCAATGGATGGACTCAGCACTGAAGAACATTTAGGGACATGATCAGACTCTGTAGGCCTTATTGTATATATAATAGAGTGCATTAAATTGGGCAGGAGGTAATAAGGGGAGGGGGATGGAGAAAGGGACCAAAATGCCGTAAAATTATATTGTAAGAAAATTGCAAAAATGCTATTTGAAAAAAAAAAAAGGAAAAAGGAAGGCCAGGCATGGTGGTTAAGGCCTTTAATCCCAGCACTACAGAGGCAAGAGCAGGTGGATCTCTGTGAGATCAAGGCCAACCTGGTCTACACAGTGAATTCTAGGACACCTGGGGCTACAAGGAGACCCTGTCTCAAAAAACATAAATAAAGGAAAAGCCCTATCTGTGCTGAAGATCCTACAAACTGACCGACTAGAACACTGTAATTGTGGAAATGGAACATTGCAGATTAAAAGTCAAAATGATCTTGAACTATCCTCACTCAATTATTCTCAACCTCTATATCTGACTAACACCTTTTACTGCTAGGTAAACTTCTGAGAGCACATCTCAGGCATCCACAAATCCGAAGAGTATCAGAACATCTGAAAGCCATAGCGGAGACTCCCCTGCTCTGCCACAGCCTGCCTACCTGGTGTCCCCAATACATTTAGTTAATGCACTGATGTATGAATTTCTTGTTCTGTGACTATAAAAGGTCATGTAGACAGGCACTAAGTGCATTAATTCCAGCACTCGGGAGGCAGAGGCAGGCGGTTCTCTGTGAGAGTCAGACCAGCCTGGTCTACATAGTGAGTTCCAGGTCAGCTGTGGCTACAAGGAGACCCTGTTGCAAAAAAACAAAACAATAAAAAATAAAAAGTCACATACCCTCTTCTACAATGGAGCATGTAATCCAGGTGAACATGAATTTGTGTTCCTGCCCTTGGTTACTCACTTTTGACTCAGACATATTTTCCTATAGAGGAAAAGCTCTATTTTACATGGACTCAGAGGGAACATGAGCTTACATTATTCAAGAATTTCAAAATTTGCAGAGAAGCAAAGCCATCCCCTTAAGTGAAAGTATTATAAACAGCCTTTAAGCTCCATCATATGCTATTCAAAACGTGTTTCATAAGCTGAAGAGATGGCTCAGCAGTTTAGTGAACTGGCTCCTCTTGCAGAGGACCCGGGTTCAGTTTCCAGCACCCCAGATGGTGGTTTATAACTGGCTGTAATTTCAGTTCCAGGGGATCCAATGGCCTCTTCTGGCCTCAGTGGGCATTTACACAAAACAGGTGCATATATACAATCAGGCAAGCCACTCATACACATAAAATAAAAACAATAAATATGAGGCTGGAGAGATGGCTCAGCTGTTAAGAGCACTAACTGCTCTTGCAGAGGACCCGGGTTTGATTCTCAGCACCCACATGGTGGCTACAAACTGTCCTTCATGACACGGGTGCGCCTACCTACCTACATGCAAACAATACACTTATACACGTAAAGTAAAAATACTAAATAAAGTGTTTTGTTTTTTTTTTAAAGAGTAATCATCTTAAAAACAAATAAAGCAATACGAAAATTAGACTCCATGAACAAGGAATGAACACCCAGAAGACAAGTTTCCAGAAAATAATAAAATATTTTTTTAATTTTTAAAAAATAATAAACACATTTTTATTAAAAGGGTTTCAATGAGTTATACACTAATGGAAAGATGTGCCTCATTACCCAATTACATGCACTGTGCTTCAATCGAAATAAACTAGGTATTTCCTGTAACTCTGCAACTACAACTATTAGGAAAGAGGGGGAGAAAAAGAAAATCTCACCTGCAAGAGAAAAACATGTATTAGTTTAGTGAACACATCAACTTTCAGGCTCCCATTTGGGCCACATTCTTTTGTTTTTATTTTCAATTTTATTTATTTTTATTTTATGTGTATGTGTGTATTGCCTGTGTGTAGGTAAGTGCACCTGTGTTGGGCAATGCCTACAGAAGTCAGAAGAGGCTGTCGGATCCCCTGGGACTGGAGTTACGGACAGTTGTTAGCTGCCATGTGGGTGCGGGGATTCTGCAAGAACAACCAGTGTTCTTAACAGCTGAGCCATCTCTCCAGCCCCTGGGCCACATTCTTCACCGCCTTTGCACTCTCCCCTCCCATCTCGGTCTCTAAAAGGTCAAGAGAAGGCAATGGGAAGCAGCAGGAGTTTGGCCACATTTTCAAGAAGGGTCAAGTGTATGAACAGCATCCAAGGCACCAGGGAAGCTCACAGAATGTTTAGTTTGCTTGAGCACTGCTAATAAATAGACCGCTTAATATGGTTTACATTCTAATCTAATCTCCCTGAGGGCATGGCCCATATAATATTTTGTATGTGTGCTCCCACACACTGTTTTTTTTTTAAAAATATTATTTTTATTTTACACGTATGAGTGTATTGCCTGCATGTATGTAAGTGCACCCGTGTTGTGCAGTGCCCATGGAGGTCAGAAGAGGGTGTCAGATCCCCTGGAACTGGAGTTACAGATGGTTGTTCTCTGCCATGTGGGTGCTGGGAAATGAACCTGGGTCCTCTGTGAGAACTGCCAGTGCTCTAACACTGAGCCATTGCTGGCTCCAGCCCCATGAAAAATATTTTTCAAAAACAAAATTCCCAACAAGTATTGCTAAACCAATGTTCCAGTTCAATGGAGAGATGGCTCAAAGGTTCAAGAGCACGTACTGCTCCTCCAGAGGGCCTGAGTTCTAGTGCAAGCACCTACGCAAATAGCTCACAACCACTTGTAACCCAGTTCCAGGGAATTTGATACCTTTGGCCACCTCAGTCATCCCACACTCCTGTGCACAACGCCCTCCACATATATACACAAAGACATATAATTAAAAATAAAATAAACTTTAAAATAAATCAATAAATGTTCCAATACTTCATTCTGTCAGTATAATTTTCTGCCTGACTTTTCAATATATACAGCACAAATTTTTGATATTTGGTGAGATGCAAATTAAAAACACACAATGTTTATTAAATCTCAGGTTAACTCCTAGGACTACAAATTTTAGGGAACAGGTAACTTTTTCTTTTTGACAATTTGAATTTTGCAATAATAGTGTATTTCTCATATAAATTTTACAAAGTAAAACCCTAGTTTAAATGTGAATATGGCAGAACTGGTGACCTCAACATACCTCTAAAAAACCTCACACAAACCTAAGATGTAGAAACTTAAACCCAACAGAACGTGTTAACATTGAGATTCCTCATTTTTTTATACTGCTTCCTAATAACCAAAAGAGCACTACTACACAATCTAGAAAGTCATTACTCCTGTTATGCAAGTCTACTGGCAATCAACACTTCTATATCCTCACATAATATTCTATGTATATCTACCATGTCAATGCCGCATCAAACATTTACCCCTCTCTTCCCTCCTGGAAAGAGAAGGTGGGGGCACTCAGACTGTCCACTCAAATCATGCTGGCTGGTCCCACTCCAAGTAACTACACTCACTCAAAACACAAGTACTGTCTAGCTACTGTGGGGAATACAAAGTGCCATTAGAGCAGGACATGGGTGAAAGCTGCTCAGGTCATTAGAGAGTTGTGAATTACCTTTTTAAGGGTTGCTATGAGATGCAATTACCTCCTTATACTACATCACAATGGAAGACAACAGTCAGGAAGGCCAAGAGAAGAACAAATCTACCTTAGTGGGAAGAAACTCTAGAGTATGTGAGCAAAAGAGCTGCAGAAATTTCATTGCTGGAAAATGAGTAAATCAGAAAGCTTGTAAGAACTAGTTTGTTTGTTTTTTTTTAATATCTTATTCATTATTTTTATTTTATGAGCATGAGTGTGTTGCCTGCATGTATGTGAGTGCACCCATGTAGTGCAATGCTGCAGGTCAGAAGAGGGCTTCGGATTCTAGAACTGGAATTAAGGATGGTTCGTAGCCACCATGTGGGTGCTAGGAATCAAATCCAGGTCCTCTGCAAGAGCAGTCAGTGCTCTTAACTGCTGAGCCATCTCTCCAGCCCCAGAACTAGTTTAGACTGTTTAGCTGTGCTGTCCAATATAGAAGCCACCAACCACATATGACTATTTAAATTGCAGCATATTTAATTTCTTTAAATTTATATTTCAAATCCTAAGCCCCACCAACCATTTAACTGCCCATATTTCACATCAACAGTATAACACCTTCATCAAAGTGCACAGACACAACACTTCCAACATCACAAAAATTCTACCACAGTTGTGGCTTTATTCTCTCAAATGGATGAACTGTGCCCCAACCCATAATACCCTTGAATGTGACTCTACTAAGAGTTGGGGTCTTTATTGAGGTAAAAGAATACAGTCATAACGGTGGCCCTCATCCACTATGACTGGGTCCTCACAAGAGGAAAGTAAGACACACAGACAGACCAGGAGGACATCAGAAGAAAGCAGTTACCTATATATTAAAAGTGCAGCCTTGGGAGAAACCCACCCTTTCTACATCTTGATTTTGGACTTCACCCTCAATTATGAAGAAATAAATTTCTAATGTTTAAGTCACCTAGTTTATGATGCTTTGTTACAGCAATCTAGCAAAGTAAACACTATAAAATCTATTTTATGATTTTTCTCATTTCCAACACTGTATTAAAAGGTAATCACTTTTACATAAACTAAGCCAGCTGACTCTGTAACCACAGGTTCTACACCTAGAGATTCAACCAACTGCAGATCAACAATATCTAGCAAAAGCCAGTTGAGGTAATCCCAGGATATGCATGACTGACACAGGATCTAAAAAACAAAAAGGGGGAAAAAACTGGGGACAAAAAAAATGAACCTCTAAAAAACTAAGCCTATGCTGAACACGGGTTCATTATCATTTCCTAAATATAGTGTAACAACTACAGCATCTACATTATATTGATTAAATATCCACTTTCTGGCAGGAAACTAACAGTGTGGGTTTCTAGGTACCCACTACCGCCCTTGTAGAGTTTACATCCTACAAGTCCTAGGCATGAAGTTACCTATGCAGTGCTAACAAAAAAAAAAAATTACACACACACACACACACACACACACACCTATGTAGACATATATTACATACAGATTATTTTATAAACGTCTAGGCGTCACAATAATACTCTTCAAATATTCTAACATTTTTTTCTGGCCAGGCATGGTGATACATGCCTTTAATCCCAGCATTTAGGAGGCAGAGGCAGGCAGATTGTGAGTTCAATGCCAGCCTTGTCAACACAGCAAGCTCCAGACCAGCCACAGTCACACACACACACACACACACACACACACACACACACACAAACTAACACTTTCAACATTTATAAAGGAACTAGAAAAAACTTAAGCAAAACTTAACTTTAGGGCTGGAGAGAAGGCTCAGCAGTTAAGGGCACTGCCTGCTCTTACAGAAGACTTGAGTTCCATTCCCAGCACCCACATGGTGGCTAACAACCATCCATAAACTCCAGCTCCAGGGTATCTGACGCCCTCTTCTGACCTCCACAGGCATTGAACAACACAGGTGCACTTACACACATGCAGGCATAACACTCATACACATAAAGCAAAAATAATAAAATGCTTTTAAAAAAATTTTATCAATCAGGTACTAACCAAAGGACAGTATGCTCACTATAGCAAAGGTAAAGATAAAGCCAACTAAGTACTACAAGATTTCATTCCAAAAACGCTTTACAACAACAAAAAAGCTGGGGATGGTAGTGCACGCCTTTAATCCCAGCACTCAGAGGAGGCAGAAGCAGGCGGATCTCTGTGAGTTCAAAGCCCAGCCCATTCTACATAGTGAGTTCCAAGCCAGGTGGGGCTATAGGGAGATACTGTCTCAAAAAGCAAAACAAAACAAAACCCAAAAAAAATGTTTGGTGGGCTAGAGAGCTGGCTCAGGGTTAAGAGCACTGGCTGCTCTTGCAGAAGACTCAGGTTTGGTTTCTAGCACCACATGGTGACTAACAAACAGAAACTTCAGTTCCTGGGGATCTGATGCCCTCTTCTGGCCTCTGTGGGCACTGCACAACATGGGTGCACTTACATATATACAAGCAAAACACACACAAGCAAAATACAAACAGGTAAAACACACACACACACACACACACACACACACACACACAAGAATAAATCAAAAAATTTTGTAAATATTAAAAAAAAAAGTTTGATGACCATGTATGGTGGCATACACCTTTAGTTCCAACACTCAGGAGGAGGCAGAGGCAAGAGGTTCTCTCTGAGAGTTGAGGCCAGCCTAGTCTACATAGGGAGTTCCAGACAAGACAAGGCTCCAAAGTGAGACCCTGTCTTAAAAGAAAAAAAGGTTTGGTAACTTAAACTTTTCTCCTTCCAAAGCCTACATGCATTTGGCTTATTCCAATTACAGTATAAGCACACAGCCATCTTTACAACGGGCACTGAGCAATGTTGACTTACTTGGCCTTCCAACATTTCTCTTGGTAGTCCCGTCCTCTCTTGTTCTGAGCTATTAGTTCTTCGTATAGAAAGGCTATGTGACTTGCGTTTTTGTTTTGCTTGGCGAGCACTTGAACAGCTTCCGCTTTCTGTGGGCATTACCTCTAGAAGGCAGTGTCCAGGTCACTCCTGCGATAAGCTAAGCAACAAGAAAAACAAGCATTTCATTTCTGAAACAGCAAATTGAAATAAAAAACAAACAAGATGAAGATTTCTTTCAACTGCAAGCTTTCTTACTATTTACTATACAGTTTAGAACATAAGTCCAGAGTCGGCAAATAATGATTCTTATCATTTAAATTTTCTCAAAATTCAAAACTGTTTTAGCTATTCTACTTTTGTGATCTTACCTTCTAATTTTCTAAATATTCCTTTTATCTCCAAAATTCTTGCTGTAACTTTGAAAAGAATTTTGTTAAATCTGTTTATCACTTTGAAAATTGCTGTCTTTGAGATTTCAAACCTATGAAAACATTAGTTTGTAGTTCACTACAAATACATCATATGTATTTCTCAATTTCAGTAATTTTTTTTGAGCATTTTATTTGCAATTTTTGATACACGGTCTCTCTGTAGCCCCAGCTGGCCTGGAACTCACTACAAAGACCAGACTGGTCTTGAACTCAAGAGATCTGCCTGTCTCTGCCTCCCAAATGCTGGGATTAAAAGCATGTACCACCACGCTCACCTCTTGAGCATTTTAAATAGTACTCATTGTTTATTCCCACATGTTATCTGTTAACATACAGAAATACAAAGTATTGTTATAGCTCACATTCTAGCTCAATTTCTTTATGAAGTCTACAAGGTTTCTTTCTAGATTCTTGCTAAGGTATACTACTATGTGTCCTGAAAGGAGAAGGGAAGTTTCTTTTCTGATATGTTTCTGTTTGCCTTGCTGACTTGGGTAGAAACCAGCATTGTGCAAAACTTCACTAGTGCTGTGGTCCTAATGATCAGTGTCCCCACAGGCTCGGGCATTTGAGTCCCTGGCCCCAGCTGGTGGTGCTTGTTTGGGGAGAAGCAGCCTTGCTGGAAGAAGTGTCATGACGGGTGGGTTTGAGACTTCACAGCCTCATCTCCATCAGTTTGCTCCCTGGATGCTCTGCATATGAAGACACCATCTCTCAGCTCCCCGACCCAGCCATTTGTTGTCATACCTCCTGTGGCATTTACCTAATCATAACCACCTAAAGAGACTGACTCTTAAGTTTAAGAGGGGTCGATCGAATTCAGGGTACACTAGTTCCCCTAGCTATCTATTAGAAGTGTCTGCCTCCCAGAACTGTGCCATGATCTGTCTTGTCCTCACCCTGTGCTGATGGAACTGACTCTAGAACCCTCTTTGCACCCCTCCCCCCGAGTCAGGACACATTCATAATTTATTCGGCTTTACTGGAGAAGTACAAAGTTTAAGTTCAGCTCCATCCTTATCTCAATAGACCGTACAGCCTTCTCATCCCTAATATCGCATTCTTCCAAGGTCACGGTTCTTCCCAGCTTCCATTGTTTCCAATGGATGGGTGCCCTGCCTGCAGTGTTTGGATGTGGCATACTCATGTTCGTTCATTATCCTTTTTAGTAGAGTACCAAACTAAGGTTGCCAAGGAGACATCCAAATCATCAGACCCAAGAGCACACGGTTTTGCTAGGATTAAGTCATTAGTCCATTAATCCCAGCACTCAGGACACAGAGGCAGGCAGATCTCTGTGAGGTCTAGGCCAGCCTGTTCTACATAGTGAATTTCAGGCCAGCTAGCTGGGGCTGAAGGGAGACCCTGTCTCAAAAAGACAAAAAAAATGTCATTAGTCCAGATTGTGTACATTAATAGTCATTCCCACAGCTGCTCTGCCATGATGGACTCTGACCATCGAGAACCCCAAACCAAAATTAACTCTTCTCTAAGTTGCCTTTGGTCATGATGTTTTAATCACAGCAACAGAAAAGTAACACAACTGTGACAACATACATTCTTTCTTCCCAATCTTAAGGTAAGAATAAGCATTCCTGTACTGTTAAGAATAAAGCTACCTACAGATTTTTGTAGTTATTTATCAAGTTGACATTTCTTTCTCGTCCATTTTCTAAGAATTTCTTTAACAAATAAGTCCTAGCTTCTGTCCTGTTTTTTTGTGCATCAATTAACATGAGGGCATAGTTTGTTGACCTGCTTATAGGGGTTAATTACACTGATTATTTTCAAATACTGACCCAAACTGACATCAGTGGTCATTCATTCTTTCTCCCTTTCTTCTCTGTTCTCTTGTAGATTACATAAACAGGTTTACAACTTCACATTGGAGCCAGGGAGCTGGCTCAGCAGGGAAAAGCACTAGCCATGTAAACCTGACAACCCAACCTCAATCCCTGGAATCACGTTAAAAAATAATAAAAAGCAGTACACCGTGGCCTGCATCTGTAAACCCCAGCACTCTTAGGGCAGGATGGGAGTCAGAGATAGACTTGCTGGGAAGCTCCACAGTTAGTTAGCTTGAAATACACTGTGCAGCAGCAGAAGTGAAAAGAGACCCTGACTCAAGGACAGCAAGACCAGCTCCTCTCTTAGTGTAACACAGGGAAAGATGCACTAAATTTCTGATAACTTCGCTCTGTCTGCTCTTCCTTCCTATCACCCCCATAATCCTTTGCCATTCCCTTTCTTCTTAGAGCTCTTCCTTCGTGTAGTGCAGCTGGACACAAATAATGTGAAGTGTGTTTCACTAGACCTAGAATTCTGAGTTGACAGGTCTTTTCCTTCAGCACCTGAACATGTGTCACTTTCCTCCCCTGGTATGGTTTCTGTTCAGAAATCCAGTCACTTTACTGTTCTCCACAGCAGGTAAAGCTGTGTTCTCTCACTGCTTTTTCGCCATTACTTGTCCTAAGTTTGTCTCTGATATGTCTTAACATTTTTTTTCCCCTCTGTGATGTTGAGAATGTCTAATTTCTATTGTTCTAGCTTTAAATCTATTGATTTTCTGTGTTCTCCAAGCTACTGTGAAGCATTCTTTATTTTTGTATCTGCCATATTTTTCATTTTTACAATGTCTGTGTTTCCTCTCTATCATCCTGTATTCTCTTCCAAATTGTTTGTTTCTATGATTAATAATTACTTTGTGAAGGAAATTTAGTTAACTACACAAAGTAGCACATTTCATGCTTCCATACATGCACAAACCCTACTTTGATCATGTATTCTTCCCCTCTACTACACTTACCCCCCATCAACCTTTCCCTTCAACAGCCCTAGTCCCCCACCTTTTGCTATCATGTCCTTTTCTCCAACTCTATATTCCACATGAGGGAAAAACTTGTAGTATTTGTCATTCTGGGTCTGACTTTTTTCACTTAATGGTGATCTACAGTTCTATCAATTTTCCTATTTAACATGATCTCCTTCTTTCTGGCTAAATATTTCACTCTATATACCACATATTCTTCACCCATTCATAACTGAGTGGCATTTGGGCTGATTTTATGACTTTGCTACTATAATAAGACACCAAATGACATGGGTATGCAAATAATCCTATTTTATGCTGATTGTGATTTTGCTGGTATATATCTAGGAGCGACAGGGTTGGATTCTTTCATGTAATACTTATATTTTTAATGTTTTGAGAAACTTCCATACTGATTTCAATAGTCGCTAAACTGATTCACATTGCCACCAACTGTGCAGGGTTCCCGTTTCCTCTGCCTCCTTGCCAACGTTTGAGGGCCTTCTGATTTTCTTGATGACAGGCATTCGGACCGGGTGAGACAGAATCTCAATGTAGATTTCGGCTGCATTTCTCTGATGGATTAAAAACACTGAACAGTAGCCATCTATGTTTCTTCACTGGAAAAATATCTGTTCATTTCCCTATTTAGTGACTGGATTATTTGCTTTTTTGGTGTTTAATTTTTAAGAGTTCTCTATATTCTAGAAATGAATTCCTTGTCAGAAGAACAAAAACACCCTCCTATTCTGGAAGCTGTCTCTTCACTCTGCTGTTTCTTTTGCTGTGAGGCAGCATTTTAATTGATGCAATCCCATCTGTCAATCCTTGCTATTATTTCCTAAGTTACTGGATCCTCCTCAAAGGGCCCTTGCACTTGACTGTACTGTGAAGTACTTGATCCTGTTTCCCTGGAGTAGTTTCAAATGTTCCTATTTTCCACTAAGATCTTTGAATTATTTGAGTTGATTTTGTACAGGGTAAGGGATAAGGTTCTAATTTCACTCTTCTACATGTGGGTATACAGTTTTCCCAGCACCAATATATCTTTTTGACACCTTTGTCAAAAATCAACTGTCTGCAGTTACATGGTCTTCTTTATGGATATTGGAACAGTTTTATAATGGCTACTTCAAAAACCTTGTCAAATAGCTCTAATATCAGTGTCATGTCTGTATTACCACTGTTGTTTGTTTTTCCCTCATTCAGACTGAGATTTTCCTGGTTCTCCATACAACAAATGTTTTTAAATTGAAATAACCCTCAGACACCACATGATTAGGGTCAGGATCTGTTCCCACAGGCCTTTCCTAACACTGCTTTGGCAAACTGGAGCATTACCTAGCTAATTGAAGTTCTACATCTGTTTCTTCAGCTTTTATTCACCTACCAATATTCTTCCAAAGTTAGTTCAGTAGCTTTCTTTCCCTTCTTTCCCAAGTGTGCTATTTTTATTTATACAAAGTACTAACCATGTCATGGTGGGAGGAGAGTGGGAAAGACACCTTTTTCAATCCAAGGGCCTCTATAACATTGGTTTATTATTAGCAAATACACGGGCAGGTAGCATCCTGGATTTGGGAAACTAAAGACAATGCTTTCTCTCTGCTGGATAAACAAGATGTCAGTCTCTGCTGTAAGAATCCTAGATTTAGGATTTTCAATGACAGCTCTTATTTGTGAAGCCGTGTAATCAACTGACAGCACAGTAGACAGGAATGTAACTGCAGTTTCCACTGTGTTCAAATGGCCAATCAAATTTCATTTTCTGGTTGACTCAGTTTCTTTAACTCCTGCTACAACAGCTTTAAGCCCACAATCATAACCTGCAAAATCATACTAGTACTTCTGAGGGCCTTGTTCTTCCTCTCTTCCAACTGAAGCAAACAACAATCAAGTGATCTCATTTGAGCATCC